TAAATTACATAGTGTGGTGTGGCTAAACCTCCATTTATGCGCGCTTATCTAGTATACATTTTCTTTTAGGTTGAAATATTTCAGAATACAGAAGGCTGGATTTCTCTGTGAGCTTGTGCTGAGATTAAACCCGTGTGTTTTCTCCTGCGCGACTACATATGCAGAAAAGTATTATGATAGTATTGCTAGGGGGGACACGAAAGTTGCTTCTCGCTCCGTGTTTATGACCAGCCGGTTGAGGACAGCATGTGCCTAGAAACTTAAAGCCGAGTATAATTTAGCAAAGCAATTAATTATGTTTTTTTATCCGGTAGGAAGTAAAGACGTTGTTGACTTTCATAATTCACGAGTGTCAGAGTGGCTTCTGTGTTATAAGGGGTCAGTATATTACATGTGCATATTATATATAATATATATATCCCCATATTATCTACTCCTGATAATATAAATATATATATATAATAATATATATATATAATATATGCACAATATGTTGTGGTGTTTCTTTCAATAGAGTATCAGGCACCTAATATCCTAGATCTATATTGACGCTTTCCTATATACAGTGACACTGCGAATCAAATAGCGATCATGTGAAATTGTCCATTATCCCTGTCTATCTCTGCTCTCTCTCTCTCTCTCTCTCTCTCTCTCTCTCTCTCTCTCTCTCTCTCTCTCTCTCTCTCTCTCTATATATATATATATATATATATATATATATATATGCGTGTGCACGTCTGTGTGTGTGCGTGCGTACATGCGCGCGTTTATGATTAGTGAAGAGTTTATTGTTGTGGTAAGTAATGAAACATTTCCCCAATACAATTGAGTCAAATATAGCAAGAAACGTTTGTACTAGAGTAGCTCATGGTGGTTTTGTATGCAATTTTATGTCCAGACCTAAACTCTTCATGAATCCACTAATTGAAGGTCCAGGAACAATATTTGGTTAGTAACACATTTCCCACTGACGGCGAAATAGCTTTTTGGGCCACGCCCTTTTCGAGCGAAGTACTACCATCCACCGTGACTGTATCTACAGAACCGTTGGCCACATTATGGGGGGTCAGTAATACATTTTCGTATCCAAAAGTCAATGGTTTTTAAGATAATTGCTAAAAACCGATTTCAGCATGTTACGTACTACATTTATTTTGATTTCTACACCTTTTGTCTTTACTACAGCCACAAATCGTCACACATTTTATGTTCCTTTCTCTGCAAGTGCACGTTTTGGTACTCATACATGATGTTGGGCATTTGCATGGAAGGGGCAGGTTATCGGGCCTGCACGATACTGGCAGTATCACTGGTGTTATGCCAACATCCGTTGCTTCACATCCATACTGGAGTGGATCTGGTTTGGGGACTGCAGGAGTTGGGGCTTGCAACCACATCTTAAACTGCAGATATGCTTGCTTTATGTGTTCTCGTAGCGTTGATGAACAGCACACAAGCTGGTTGAAGTCCAATTCTTTCTTGGAGTTGTGGTACTGTTCCCATCGATATTCATCGAAAGTGGAACAGTCTGTCCTCTTTAATCCAGACACAATGAACTATTCAGCATTGCTTGTTATCTGTGGTGACAGTTCTTCTACACCAAACCCTTTCAGTAGGGAGAGATCCATGGATAATTTCAGGCCAGGCAGCTTTGGACCCACCTTGCTGGTACACGAGACACGACACCAAACCGTTGTCCAGTTGATCAACCAACAGGTGGACTGGTACAGTTTTCCGGTTACCAAGCTTCACGTACAGCTTTTGTAGTTGCCAGGTTTTGTTGAAGTGGAAGATGAGGTTAACAACGACATCTGTGTCGGGTGAGTCAACCAAGACTGATTGAACCCCGTGTTTCACAACACCATCATTAATATGGAACATGATTCTGTCGTCGGCTTCTTCTTGGTTGCTTAAGAGCTCTGCGATCTGTGTTTCAGTGCCAGCTAACAATTTCCTGCATTCACCCCCATATACTCTTCCAAAGAAGATCTGCTTGTCCGACTCGACATTGTGCAGCATCCACTTGAAGACATACTCCTGCAACCGAACTTTGTTCAACGTTGAGCTCCAGAACATATCAAGATCGACAGGGAGTTTCTGATTGTCAGACCTAATGGTGATAGTGATTTGTTCTGAAGAACTTCTCTGTGCCCGTTCCATTTGCTTGATTGATTATTTTTGATAAACATCAAAAATAATGTATTCTTGTGGACTCGTGGAGCCTGTAGTAAGAATGCTGTTGGAAAGACTCTCAGCCAATTCCCCGAATGTGTAAAGGCCCATCTTTTTATTGGTAGTTCATGCACAAGTGCCATGAAGTCTACTATTGGCATTTGAGCGTCACTCTTTACATTCCTCGTGTCTCTTTACATTCCTCGTGTACATTCCTAGTTGACTGACAAGTTCCCTGGATAAGGAGGCTTTATCGGGCTTCTTCAATTTGATGCCATCTTTACATTCAGTGGTGAGGAACTGGGATGTTCTATTCATACTTCAGGAGTTCTAGCATGCTGTACCCTTTTTTCCTAGCATAGTCAATGTACCTAATCGTTTCTGCAGCATCCTTTTTCGCCATCGATTTCTTCGCTGTGGACGTGGTAGAAGTACGTTTCACGAAAACAGTCTTGCGGTTGGTAGGGATTGTATCATGTAGGTGCTTCTCCTTATCCTGAAATCTGGTTTCAACAAACTCTTGATAACTGTTCTCACCAATTTCCAGGCATTCAAGTAATCCGTCAACAACCTCTTGGAGTATGTCAGCTCCAGTAGAGATGTTCTGAAGTCTGATTCCAGCGCCGAACGGATTGTTGATGGATTTTATGTAATCCAGAAGCGTATTCGCACGAACATGCATGGCCAATCTTCGTAGAACTTGGATTGAACTCATGGTGTAGGCTCAGTTCACTGTCATCTTTGTCTCCCAGGTTACACCATTCCAGCAGCTGTGCCACATGAAGATCTTTCTCATGCTTTAGGAGATCCCATAATGCTACTGCTTCTTTCTGTCTAGTCATCCCAATGATACATCCAGCAACCTTGGCGGGTTTATCGTAACACTTCTCGAGTGCCATGTCAAATCCTACTGCACTGCCTTGTCGGAGAGTGTAGTACATCACCCATCCACCATCTGTAAAGCATCTGTAGATACCCTAGAGCTTCCTTTGTATGTCCAGGCAATCTTCAAGAAACAGCGTACCCCATCTGCTATAGTTTTTCCGGCCAAACCCGAAGAACAAAGGCATGCACCTCCGCACAGCTGAAACGAAAAGATGCCAATCGCCTTGCCGAATAGAGTGTGTAAGATCTCTCAGGATAGGATACAGCTCATCCAGAAACAAGCCCCAGTACCTCACATTCTCATTACAGGCCGTTTCTTTCCATTCTGTGAAAGACTTCGTCAAGTCTGCATGTAAGATCTTGCTTTCTTCCCAAATCTCTCTGAACTCTGTACGGTCAACATCTAAAGCCTGCTGCATCTTAGTTTCCATGGTCGCTATTTGCTGGTCTAATTCACAACTAGTACTGTCCTGGTCAGGTTGAAACTTCTCAAACATAAGAACTGTCATCACCTCTGATACAAGACTCATTGCCTCCTTGCCTGTGCAATAGTGACCTCCAGTCATGACACTATTCTCTACAACAAGCTTGCCAAAGGCTTCAGTCTCAATCAAAGCCAGATCAATACCGATGCAGCCTAAAAACTTCCCAATGCAAGCGATGACAATCTTCTCCATGTGAAATGGTCCCATTCCAAGGAACCAAACCAAACCAAAATTAGAAACCAGATCCACTCCAGTATGGATATGAAGCAACGGATGTTGGCATAACACCAGTGATACAGCCAGTATCGTGCAGGCCCGATGACCTGTCCCTCCATGCAAATGCCCAACATCATGTATGAGTACCATAACGTGCACTTGCAGAGAAAGGAACATAAAATGTGTGACGATTTGTGGCTGTAGTAAAGGCAAAAAGTGTAGAAATCAAAATAAATGTAGTACGTAACATGCTGAAATCGGTTTTTGGCAATTATCTTAAAAACCATTGACTTTTGGATATGAAAATGTATTACTGACCCCCATAATGTGGCCAACGGTTCTGTAGATACAGTCACGGTGGATGGTAGTACTTCGCTCAAAAAGGGCGTGGCCCAAAAAGCTATTTCGCCGTCAGTGGGAAATGTGTTACCAACCAAATATTGTTCCTGGACCTTCAATTAGTGGATGCATGAAGAGTTTAGGTCTGGACATAAAATTACATACAAAACCACCATGAGCTACTAGAGATATTGTTACCTACGTTTTTATTATGTTAAATGATAGTTAATATTTAGTTTTTGATAATCTTTTTTTTCAATAACCTAAATGTAATTTTTTTATTAAAATTAAACGTTCGTTCATAACGTTTTTATTAAAGCATACCAAAACGGGTGTTAAGCCGTTTAAAAAGCGTTTTTAAGAACCTTTACTTGACCTTATTATTAAAGCCGCACAATGCGCATCCAAACGCTAATTTCTCCAGTACTAATTAACCTTTGGGTTAGCTGGGGTAACCTGGGTTAACCTTGCTGCTAAACCTTTATAAAGAGACAATACATGATGAAACGAAATCCTAACGTTATATGGGAGAAAATCGTTTGTGTTAGCTGGGCAATAGCGCTGGTAAAATTGTGCTATCAACCTAGTATATATGTACGTCTACGCTCCGGTATATATGGTAAAATCCGACAATGTTGCAAACAAATAAATCGCCATTTTGGCATAAGAATGCGACGAAGCTCACTATTCCTTGTCTCTATATCGTTTTTATATGTATATGCGTCGTTATACATAAAAAATTACTACGGTTACTATTACATGGTACCTGTACCTGGAACTGGCAGAGCCGTATGCTGTTAATGAATTTAAATCCTCTCCCTTGCCTATAACTATATGTTTCGTACCAAATGTCGTACTGTATTTATGCGTTGGACTATACCAGAGTTTGCTACTTGCATTTAGGTGAGGTCGGCAAAGAAATGTACATAGTTAATCGTGGCCGGCTACAGGTCGTAGCAGACAACGGAAAAACAGTTCTAGCCACGTTGAAAGCAAGCAGTTACTTTGGAGAGATCAGCATACTGAATATGGGAACTGCTGGAAACCGACGAACCGCATCTGTCAGGTACGACAATGATATAGCATAAAAGAGAGAGATTGATTTAGTTTTAATTTTACATAACAGAGCAACATGTTTAAGACAGACAGCAATGCTGTTGTGATATTCCATAATTATATGCTATATATACTTGCTATATATATACGCTGCTATAGGTTAACAAGCAAATATAGATGCGCTAATAAACCGAATAAGACAATTGGTTTCACGCCGAAGATTCATTCAAAATGTTGAAAAATATGGTTAGAAACACGCAATTTTAAATGAGTAGCGTGTTTTATGTAGCCAAAGCAAAGTAGAAAAATTAGGGCCAATTAAATTAGTATCGAAAAAAGTTGAAAAGGTCATTTTGTTTACCACTGCACTTGCTCGAGATGAAAGGAAAGGAAAGAGAGAAAGGGGAGGGAGAGCACAAGAGCAAGTGCATGGAAGCGAGGGAGCGAGAGCGAACGCAAAACGAAAACGGGCAAGAAAAGATGTGAAAAAGCGAAACGGTTAAAAAGAAAAGGGAAAAGAGGGAGAGAGAGAGAATGAGCAAGCGGTGGGGAAGGGAATAGGGAGAGTGGAAGAGAGCTAGTTGGGGAGGAGAGAAAAATAGTTGAATATAAAGGAAGAGAAGATGTGCATGCGAGTGAGATCGTTAGAAAAACTAACGAAAAGTAGTGAAAGACGTAAAGGCCGCCGCACACCAGCCGATTTTTACAAACGATGAAGCGATGAAGCGATGAAGCGATGAAACGATGTAGGTGTGCGCGTTCATTTGTAGACGATTTTATTGTTATCGGGTGATCGTTCCAAATCAAACATGTTTGATTTTGAACCGATTATTTGGACGCGATTTGTGGTGTGCGCGTGACCTCAAGAAAATCGTGTGCGATAAATATTGAACAGCCAATAGCTGCCCGTGTCACATGACATTCACCTTGCAGAAATTATCGTAGGTGTGGCGCCCACACCTACATCGCTTCATCGCTTCATCGCTTCATCGTTTGTAAAAATCGGCTGGTGTGCGGCGGCCTTAAGCAGCAGTAGGCTCTATTGGTAGTAAGTGTACTACGACAACCACTATAGCAGCAATGCCCGTAGAAAATTATGAAACTTTGTTAGTTTCTCGTAGCATTACAGAAATTTAATAGAATATTATTTACTTGTAAGCTAATGGTAATTAACAATAGCTATCCAGATATATATTATACAGTTTTGTAGACAGATCCGAATATGTTGCTCCTCAGAGGGAGGGAAGCTAAGGGGAGAATACGAAGAACAAGCATCTGCAGCAATAATGACCATATCAGCTACAGTAGTTGTACCACGACGTATACCACTATCCATCTAACAGCAGAGACCGATAAAATATAACAGCCAAAATTTAGATAAAAATATATAGGCTGAAATCTGAAGCGTTAACATTATGCATTCTTGTATTATTCAGAAAATGTGGCGCAAATAAATTTTATGCGTAAATTGATGAGTAATCAGAATTTCTAAAATTTATTTAACTGCCTAATAAAAATAAAATCTGACAGAAAAAATCGTGAATATTTCCCAAACCGATAGACTTTGTGCAAAAATTTACCAAAACAAGGTTTTACCAAGCATATGTTTATGGGCAGTGGGAGGAACATTTAGAACTCTAGTGAGTACAGTTGTACATTAACTCCAGTGCAAACCTTTGCTAATTAAAAAGGCGATCATTTACGATTAACCAATAGTAGACAAGGTCATGACACAAGATCATATCATACATTCGTCCCAACATTCAAACTGGAATCGCAAATGTACCTAGTCAATTCTTTGCTTCATTGGTTTCTTCATCAAAAGCGACACTTTGGGTCAGATTTTCATCTTCTTTTTCTGCATCGATGTAATTAATCGACTAAAGAATCTTCTGTCAATTTAATGCAAATTTTACATGCGCACTGTGGGCAAGTAAACCTCAAACTTAAATTTGTTTTGATCAGTGAGTCCTAATCCGTAACCGGTGTGCGGGAAATTCGGGCATTTTCCATAGACGTATATCGTGGTTTACCATCTTTATCTTTTTTGAAGAACGTCTTCGCATGGATGTAGACAGCAGGGGTTAGTAGATTTATTCTTCTACTTTGAGCTGTCACCATTATTTCAATGGGGTGTGAGTTTCTGCAGAAGTACTGACATGTTGATAAGGCTTTTCATGTTCCGTGACATCGTGCGAGTAGTAATCTAAATGGTGGCATTCGAATACTGCTCGGGAAGGAGTAGGAATATGAAATCATCAGGAAATCATCCGTATTGAATCGACAAACCACAACGGCCTGCTATCTGTTTTGGCAGATTTTCCTTATGAAAAAGGCAATGAAAATTATATGGATCGAAGATAATTCCGCGCCGGTTTCTATATGCATACGTTTCAGTACCTTCCAGTTCCTGGGTTTGGACATTTCTATCGTCAATTGCAGTGGTCCATCGTCATCGTCAGTGGCAATTTTTCCTATGGCAACTTAGACTTTATGATCTTCAAACATCTGAACATTAGTCAAATATGTCCACACATGTAAAAGGAGAAACAGGAGTGCAGCTTTGAAGAATGCTGATAGAAACACTTGTTATAGTATACTGTTCTGATTTATGGGACGATATAGTCTGGTTTATGGGGTGATCCAGTAAACATGTGTTTACTCTTTCCTCGCACTCATACCGTTTGATAGAACGTGTTGTGTTGTGTCTATTGCGAACATGAACGATTATCTATCCAATAAGTAATATTTCTGTGCGATTAGCGGAAGTTACGCGACAAGTCATGAGGGAACCATATCATAAACGGTTGTCAATAGGAATAGCGGCCGGACCAGAACTATTGACCAGCCGCGTCCACATTGCTCTGTACATTACTTTCTAAAACATAGATGTCAATGGGGTGAGAAACCGAACTGTGAGAACAATCAGCGTGCTATACGCATTTCTCACTTCCGTTTCCTTTTCGTTAGTTCCTCCTACTACCCGATTTACGCCCGTGTAACAGAAAGTGATATACAGGGACCCCCACATATCAGAAAATAATATGTAGGCACCCACTCAATATTACGTGCGCGATAGCCAATTGCTAATCGTTCACTTTTTATTACCTATTTATCAGAATGAGGTGTATAGGCCCGGTCACCCTAGGGTCAGTATATACAAATGGCGCGAACGATTTGAGTAACATTTCTAGAAATCTAGATACACATAGACACATGTCTTAGCTATAATCTCTGTGAATTTTGAGTTTATTGAAGCTCGATTAGTCTAATTAATTACTACGGACCATTGTACAGCGTATCCATACAGCGCTGTACTTGAGCGGCAGCGGTGTGGATCCATTTGGAAACAATATGGCGTCAAATCCTGGGTTGTCGCAACTCTTTGAGGGGCACCCTAGGTCACCCTCGTAACTCTACGCGTCTTTGACCAATGAACGCTGATATGTTTAGTGATGTCACACACCGCCATCACTGTGGTGAGAAACGGTATAGAAAAGTCGGTAAAATAAAAAAAATGTTGAGTAGGGTCAAACAGACTTGCTTTCTCGGCATCATTATTTTTTACATCCGATATGCTAGTGAAAAATCTCGATTAAAACCGTCTCGATTTCTTGGAGTAGCAAATACGTTTTACGTCGTAAAAGACTATAGTAGAATAATTAGATTATGGAATAATAGACCAATTTTAACGTCGATGCGTGGTGTACGTGTGAAATAGGAATATAGTGGGCGTCTCTTCAATGCTGAATAATGATCTGGTGACACTCTCCCTATATATATCTCGTAATTTTATCTACCTATTGATTGCGCATTGCAGGTTGCGTGCTGTACAAAATAACCTAATGATAATTATTGCTAGAAATAAAATTCAGCGCAGGGCAATCGTACCTATCACCAACAACTCTAGTATAATCTATTATCTAGTATATATCTATATCTATCTAATATACATTTTTTAGGTCGGTGGGATATTCGGATTTATTTTGCCTGGCCAAGATGGATTTGTGGGATGTGCTAAAGGAGTACCCAGCAGCAAGAGTGCGATTGGAAGCCGTTGCGTCGAAACGACTAAAAAATTACAAAAAGGCACCTCTAGAAAGGGGTAAGCAGTTTCCACTGGGGTAAATAGCTGATTCAGATAGAACTGTTTCTCCCGTAGTCATTACAAACCTATAAATACTTGTGACACCGGACTTGGAGATGCAAGTATCAAAATTCAATGATGGCTCACAACCTCATGATTTCAGACGTTTCTATTGTGTCTGGAAGTAAAGCATGCCAATATATGGCACGTTGTCTCGATCAAGCTGTAGTGTGCATTTTAACGCATATTATTATTTATTTGTTTAAATGATAAATGATGTAAGCTAGCCTCAATTTGCCAATTCATCCGTCCCCTGCATCGGTCTTTTCGCCTGCATGCATGTTGACTTAGTGAGAATGCACGCATCTTCAATTTTTCGTTAAACTGAATAGATTTCTAATGATAAATAATTAGGTGAGAGATAAATGAGATGCATAACTAGTTCTAAACATTATTTTATTTATATTTATATATATTTATTTTATTATTATTATTATTAATTTAATTATTAATCATTTTATTATTTTACAAAATATCATGCGTTATATGAAAAAAAATTTATTCTTACATACACGTGAAAATTTTGCACGAACTTCTAGCGTCACATCTAGTATAATTGAAATAACATTATCGGCAGAGATTTATCCCGACATTGTATAAAAAACCACTCGAGTAGAGAAACATGTTAGGGGAACATGGATTTTTCTTTGTATCGACTTTGTATTGGCCAATGGCAATGATTTACTCTGGACAAATTGATGTGTTACCGTAAATAACAGCAATAATAATATTAATAATAATAATAATAAAACAAAAACCACAATAATGTACGCTCTTATTAAGTAATTCATGATTAAACAAGGTACACTACCCAGGAGCGGATCCAGGATTTTTGAAAAGGGGTATCCAGGAAGAAATAAAGGGCACTTTTTCCTGCTTGATTTTTCTTGTGTTGAATTTTTCTTGAGCTGCCGAAGGACTTCCCCCAAGAAAATTTTTAAAAATTGGTGCATTCTGAGAGCATCTGAGCAGTAATTTTGATGTCTAGAATGCAAAAATTTATCAGATCCGGTCCTCCGGAAGTCCCACGGACCCCTCTTTGCCCATTTTTAGGTTTTTATAACGAATTTATATATATATGTATAAGTAAATCTTTATCAGAAAAACTAGCCCTAAAAAAATTGGGATGAATTTTTTTAGGGCATTTTGAAATTAAAGGGGGGTCCGGACCCCGCGCCCCCTCCCCCTTAGATCCGCCTCTGCTACCCCACCAGCATTACGTTTGAACATTACATTACATCAGAAGTAGATAATAGGGAACATGTCAACTGATTACATGTCAACATTACATTGCTCATCATGTCCAAATTCCGTTGAAACCGTTAACTCGGGGAGCGCAAATCCCGTCACTACTCCCGTGCGTTGAACAGGACAGTGCGCGCTACACCTGCCGTCTGCTGTGTTATACATAATTTTTTATACTGCTTGCGGGCATTTCTAACGTTTGATAACATTTCATCGGTTTCAGCGGCGATGAATCGGAGTAGCAGCACACCGGGTCTGGTGGAGTCGTTCGGGAAGCAACCAATCCAGGCGCCGTTCCACTATAACACCCTTCCTGTCATGCGCACGGTACACACTGGCCGTAGTCAGGAGACACTGGCGACGCTGCAGTGCGACAACGACTGCCACGCCAAACAGTTCTCGCGGCGAGGCTCCGTACTAGGAGATGCTGGAGTTTGCCGTCAGGAGCATGACGGCAGCAATGAGTTCAGCAGTGACGCAGGTACAGAGTGTGAATTACAAACAGTCCGCCCGTCAGCAAGACATCAAGTGCCAATATCAGCGTCTTCCATACCTCTGTCCCATTCTTCCTCGGCGTCCGAACTGCTTCAAGGCTGGCGGGAACCTTCGGGCGATTCAGTAGCATTCCGTAGTGGCGCTTATAGTAAAACAGACACGAAAATGGCGGTTAAATCAGAGGCTAAAGACTCGTCGCAGGAGATTCTTCTAGTAGAAGTCAAGCAACTAAGAGAAAGGCTAGCTTGGCTGGAAACAGACAATACGTCAATGAGCCTGCGGTTAACGCAGCAGCAGTGGGAGGTCGAGAATCGACTCGCGGAAATCGAAATACACATGTGTGGTAGTAGTAGCGCTGGTAGTACGACAAGCACGAGCGACGAAAGAACCCGCATTAATCAGGAGTCAGTGATTTAAAGTGATTACGTCACCGTAAATAGTAAAAGTAAAAAAAATTATGTTCACTTTTTCACAAAATGTAAGTGATTCTGTTCAGTTTTATGGTTAACTTGCTGCATTATACTTCCTATTTTTCTATTCCGTTCGATGTGAGCAAACACACATGACCCATACATAGCCCATAGCAAGCATTTAATGTCGTGATCCATAATATGAATATATATATATATATATATATTATATCAAAAACGCGTTGAAAAACAATCTTATCAGGTAAGAATTTGAGGATAGATTTAGTGCCGTCCTACTTGTTTTTCATGCAAAAAATGCAACAAACGTTTTACAAATATACATCATATGAAATTCGTGACGTAGTCAATTTAAGGGCTGCATGGTTGCGCCTTCCGCCTGTCGGCCGTGCCTGTGAATGTTGAGAATACATTGGGCGTTGTAGTAGACAGATCGCGCGCTAAGTCGATGTGTGCGCAAAACGTTATTTTCTCTGAAAGAAATATCCGTCCTCCATTGAGTAATATGAAGTTCTCACTTTGTTGAAGAATCCACAGGAGGCGATCGCGTGGTTTCACCTTATCCACGCCCTCACAATCCCAATCCCCGCACAGACATGCAACGCTGCAATCAAAACTAAATGAAGATCTAATATAATTATTGTATCTCGAGCAGTGTACATATTGGAATGCGTGTATAAAGTGAGAATTATAACCACTTTTAATAGTTTTTTTTACTCTTCGTGAATACTATTTTGATGTAAACATTTCGTATATATATATATATATATATATATACCATATGGTTAAAATATTAGCAAACTCTTATAGGCAGATGATGTCGATAAGTGTACATTTAGGTTAAGATTTATGTAATATTTGGAATTTACAGTTTTACTTGAACTCTTGTATTCGTCTTAAGATGCATGATTTCGGGTCGAAGTTTATCTTAAATCATTCGCGAATGAAAACATTTAAAATGTGTTTTCTGGCTTCTCTATGTATAAGACATCGCGCTGGCCAAGGCAGATAATACGCCACGAATGCCGATTACGTCAGGTGCATAACTTCCTACAAACTTTTTGTCAAATAAGACTTCCTTATTGTCGCTAATGACTGTATCTTTCTATCACGAAACGAGGGGGAAATATGTGTGGAATCCCCGATTCTTCTATAATAACGACTATTATGCTGTGAGTTTAACGATGCTAATCGTCGGCTATTATAAATATAATTAGTGCAGACCGTTTCTAATAAATAAATAAGACGAACCACCATAACTAGGCGAATTTAAACCGCGGTGCCCATATATACCGTAGTTCACCGATTGTTATGGCTATATGTTCTTGATGTCATGATATCACGTGATCTTCAACATATTTCACAATAATATGCAGCTTTTAATCACGAAAAACGTAAAAATACGAAGGCTAGCATAATATACATAAGTACAGATCATTTGAACTTTGAAGATGGTTCTGCTTATCTAATGATCGAAGGAATTGCTGGTAATCGCTGTGTACTATATCGCGTTTACGAGATAAGCATGTTCTAACATATAATTACGTAATGAAGCAAGCATAACCTTAATGACTGTCTCTTGTGATTTTGCGCGTTCATTGCCTCGTATTTTATTAACTTTTTTATTGATCTTATCATAAGCTGTAATCCTTCAATTAACGGCGGTCAAACGTAAGCTGTGTATGCAAATAAAAACGCGAGCAGATAACACAATTAAATTTAGTTATATTTCGACATCAAAAAAGAATAGTTTTCGTTGTCTATTTCCACGTGCGTGCGTGTGTGTGTGTGAGAGAAAGAGAGAGAGAGAGAGAGAGAGAGAGAGAGAGAGAGAGAGAGAGAGAGAGAGAGAGAGTGCGTGTCGTGTGTGTGTGTGCGTGTGCGTGTGTGTGTGTGTGTGTGTGTGTGTGTGTGTGTGTGTGTGTGTGTGTGTGTGTGTGTGTGTGTGTGTGTGTGTCGTGTGTGTGTGTGTGTGTGTGTGTGTGTGTGTGTGTGTGTGTGTGTCGTCGCAATTACGCTAATACAAAACAATCGAGGGACACTTCTGCGAACAGCGATTGATTTTGTTGATTGTCTGGTGAAATCTAGTTAAGGTTCGGTCGTGACCTGAGGACATAGACGTGGTTATCATGTACTTTATTTTTTCTCTAACCAGTATTCAGTCTACTTGTACTAACCAGTACCATATCCTTTGGCTAAGACACCCCGAACTCTTCGCGCCCCACGATTGTGGTTAGGGCCGCTTTACTTTTTGGCTTCCGTGTAGTATAGCTTGCGCCTCTCGACCAGTCGGATGTCCCGTGTTCCATGCGTTTATACAATCCCAGGACCCGCATAATCGATTCGCTAATATTCTATGCTCCCCGATTCCCCCAGAATCCCCGCAGAATTCCCTCTATTAAACCATTTGACATGTGTCAAGCGCTCGGCTTCCATCTCTACTATTACCAGCAGCACAATGGTGTGCCATGCAGACTACCTCTGACATACGCTTTCGAGACTGTCTCCACGTATCCAGAACGCTATAGGGTACTCGGTAGTGTACGTCTCTAACAAAGCCACGTAACCAAAAAGCAAAGCAACGTAATATACAACGTTATATACATGAAAGCAACGTAAAAGCACGTTATATACGTAAAAGCAACGTTATATACATGAGTTTGTATTACAGGCAAGGATTGTTTCAGATTTCTTTAATTTGCGAAGCTGTGCTTTTGGTAGCTGCTGTCGTGTTGCGGGTTTGCTTTGATAACTAATTACCGACTGATCTCGTGTTTTCTCCATATTTATGATACTTACCGTTATTGCGTAGGTAACAACAACTGTCTAGAGTAACGCTAATATGTCGTGCTTTGCTATATCATAGACGAAGAATAACAAGACACAGCATATCACATATAAATATTATTATATATCACATCGGCGATTTTTGCGATACCGCAGGTGTCCAGTGGCGCTGCTTCGTGTTAATTGATCACGTCTGTCATGGATTGTGCATTGGAGGAAATCGTATTCCGGGGATGTTACACGCGGATGTTGTGGTTCTGCTAGCAGAGAATAGGAGTAAAATGGAAAGTATGTTGAGAATTGCCGCAGACTTTGCAGATAATTTTGGAATTGTTTTTGGAGAACAGAAATCCCAAATCATGATTCTCAATAAGCCGATAGAGGAGCAACAGGGTGTCTGGAAACTGGGGGCAATGAATTTGCAGCAAGTATCTGAATACACTTACCTGGGAGTAAAGCTTAGTGACAATATCTAAAACTGCTTACAACAGCATGAGGATGATATACGGAAAAAAGCAAGAAAATACAGGGAAGCAATAGCTTCAAAGGCATTCTATCGTTTTAATATATATTGGGTGGGTAGGGAGCTTTGGAAAGCAGTTGCGGTGCCTGCACTGACGTATACAAATGAAGCCCTAGTATTTAAAGATAAAAAAGGAGGAACGTCCACGCTCCAGGCACTAGACAGGACACAAAACCAGCTGGGAATGGAGCTACTAGGGGCACCCTCTTATGTGGGACTGGAGAGTATTAGAGGGGAGATGGGATGGTCAACCTTTGAAGAGAGAGAGGCAAAAAGTAAAATTCAATATTGGGGCAGGATAAAATATATGAATAATGAACGTAAATGTAAACAGATAGCGGAAGCAATGGAATTGGGCGAATTCAGATCAGACTGGAAGAGGAGAACTAGGTTCCTCATAACAAAGTTTGACTCGGATAGGAGTCTAGACGAAGAGTTATTATTAAAGAATGGAATGTTAGAGTGGAAAGAGCAATTAAACAGAGTGGTACTACGGTCTGGAAAAAAGGGATAGAAAACAAGAGTTCGCTAGAATTGTATAAAGAAAAAAAGACGCCTGGTAAAGAGTCCCTTTATGATAATAGACTTGGGAGTAGCCTGCTCTTTCAATGCAGGGCGGGTGCTTGCCACTGAATAAACGAACTAGACACTGGGGAGGTAAAGATAAATGTTTAATTTGTGGGAATGAAGAGTTGGAGACCCTGGAGCACTTTTTACTAGAATGTCCTGGATATATGAAAACCATAGAAAACGTTTTTTTTAATATGATTAAACGTAGAACAGGTTTGGAGGCAACAGAAACCTCACATGACATGCAGAAGGAGCTCTTTAAAACTCTCCTGGGATTTAGGGTTGGCAGCAGCCTTATTACTTTAGTTCAGCTTACTAAACAGTACCTGAAGATACTTTGGGGAGCTAGATCAGCAGCACTCACAAGTCTATAAGGGGATACGGAATTAAATCCTTTTTTTTCTCTTTTTTTTGCAGGGAAATACCGATCTAAAGGTTTCCAGTAATACATACATACATAGTACTGGCGATATTTTGCATGGCGTGTCTTGTTAATCTTAAGCGCGGCGCACACGAGAGTTATTTTACTCAAGTAAAATGACGCGCATGAGTAATTTTACGCACGCGTCATTTTTCAGCGTGCGCCGCAAACGTTGAGTAAAATTACTCATGCGTCATTTTACTTGATTAAAATAACTCTCGTGTGCGCCGCGCTTTAGTCTATGCATGGCTATATTCACCAAAACATTCACGATTTCAATCTTGAGTACTCGTTTTGATTTCTGTTGTCATTTCTTGCGAATCTCGGACTATCTCGAAATATATGCTAGCCAATATGAACCTTCCAACCCTGGATTCGCGAAGCATAAACACTGAACTCAAAAAATTTAAAGAAAACCGATGATATCTAAAACGAAACCTAAAATACTAAAGTTCACTGACTCTGAGACTGAAATTATAATAGAAAGACGAGCCAACTCTAGATGCTTTACAGTAGAGCATAGCTACACAGAACAATTTCCTCTTTCATTCTTTATAAACACAACAATGGCCTGGACCCAGCTACCAGAGGACGTGATAATTATAATAGCCACCGAGTCGCTTAATTGAGATCTCCACAACAGCCACATCGAAGCTTCAGCACCGATTCTACTGATGAGCACACGTGTCTATGCTCCTCCGGTGCATTACACCACTATGGGCGTCTACTGTATAACTCAGAATCACGTGTGTACTGTTTTGTAGCGCATTTTTAAAGTTTTGGTACTAACTTTAATTCATTTCCCGCCACGTACATATAGGTACCAAATTCTATACAGCCATAAATAGAAAACCAACGAAAGTTCACACCGGGGACTACAATGTGATGTCTTGTAACGATAATTATAATTATCGTTACAAGACATCACATTGTAGTCCCCGGTGTGAACTTTCGTTGGTTTTCTATTTATGGCTGTATAGAATTTGGTACCTATATGTACGTGGCGGGAAATGAATTAAAGTTAGTACCAAAACTTTAAAAATGCGCTACAAAACAGTACACACGTGATTCTGAGTTATACAGTAGACGCCCATAGTGGTGTAATGCACCGGAGGAGCATAGACACGTGTGCTCATCAGTAGAATCGGTGCTGAAGCTTCGATGTGGCTGTTGTGGAGATCTCAATTAAGCGACTCGGTGGCTATTATAATTATCACGTCCTCTGGTAGCTGGGTCCAGGCCATTGTTGTGTTTATAAAGAATGAAAGAGGAAATTGTTCTGTGTAGCTATGCTCTACTGTAAAGCATCTAGAGTTGGCTCGTCTTTCTATTATAATTTCAGTCTCAGAGTCAGTGAACTTTAGTATTTTAGGTTTCGTTTTAGATATCATCGGTTTTCTTTAAATTTTTTGAGTTCAGTGTTTATGCTTCGCGAATCCAGGGTTGGAAGGTTCATATTGGCTAGCATATATTTCGAGATAGTCCGAGATTCGCAAGAAATGACAACAGAAATCAAAACGAGTACTCAAGATTGAAATCGTGAATGTTTTGGTGAATATAGCCATGCATAGACTAAAGCGCGGCGCACACGAGAGTTATTTTAATCAAGTAAAATGACGCATGAGTAATTTTACTCAACGTTTGCGGCGCACGCTGAAAAATGACGCGTGCGTAAAATTACTCATGCGCGTCATTTTACTTGAGTAAAATAACTCTCGTGTGCGCCGCGCTTAAGATTAACAAGACACGCCATGCAAAATATCGCCAGTACTATGTATGTATGTATTACTGGAAACCTTTAGATCGGTATTTCCCTGCAAAAAAAAGAGAAAAAAAAGGATTTAATTCCGTATCCCCTTATAGACTTGTGAGTGCTGCTGATCTAGCTCCCCAAAGTATCTTCAGGTACTGTTTAGTAAGCTGAACTAAAGTAATAAGGCTGCTGCCAACCCTAAATCCCAGGAGAGTTTTAAAGAGCTCCTTCTGCATGTCATGTGAGGTTTCTGTTGCCTCCAAACCTGTTCTACGTTTAATCATATT